CGAGCCCTTCGATTGCTTTTTCGCCATGTGGGTGGTTGCATGCAGGCACAGCGAGGTAGCGAGGCTCTTGTGGGTTACAGTGGACGGCCGCGCTAAGAGGCAGGCGAGACAGGCACAAAGAACACTGGCTCAAGTACTCCGTAAAGTGTTGATTGGTCTGTGCGCACTGGCACGTTTCACACCAGCTGCCGCCGACCAGAGAGCAAAAAATAGAACAAACGTTCCTATTCTCTCTCATTTGTTGAAGTGTCTTAAGGGGTGCAACCGATGGACCAATCGCAAGCAACACTCTTATTTTGCCGTGAAGATGGAGTGGAGTAAGGAAGTCACAGAAACAACAGTCAAGACGTTGTAGCCGGTCAAGCGAGGGACGGGCAGGTGCAGGCAAGACATTGGAGTCGCTCTTCCAGTTCCCGTTCTTCCATAGTGGTCGCAGTACCTTCTAGTCACACATCGCACTTGTTTCCGTACGGCAACTACTTTAGTACGGAGTGTTATGCTGATAAATTCAACCCACTTCCCTCCCTTTTACTTCTTTGCTATTTCCGAGCCTTCATATTGAGGCGCTGTCATGGGCAGTGTTCTTATGATAAGCGGTTCCAGGGGTAGAAACTGGTTGATAAAATACAAGTGGATATTTTAGGCCGATTTGGAGGCGTTTCTTTTTTCAAAGGCGGCGCACGTTGCAGAAAAAGCAACCAACGGGCAGGTGTCTGCATGTTTTCTGTTCGGAGTATTTTCCATGTCGCTGCCCTTGTCAGATACGAAGTACAGATACGTCTGTTTCTTCCAAAGGCGCCTGGACCTGGGCTAACCCGAACGGTTCGGCCAATCCAAGCACGTCTCGTTGCACCTAAAGGGAAAGAGCACCACGCTAAAATCTGAAGCAGGCGCCTGTCGAACCCCCTTACCCAAGGCAGGTACAACGACGAAGAAGGGAAGGAGCAAAAGAACACCATTCATGTCTTTCGACTCGTAAATGGGGACCCAGCGGAGCCGTTAGGCTTAATAGGTTGCAGGTTGCAGGTCGTTCCTGCTGTGTCCTGTCCAATTGTAAATCAGCTAAAGAACGGAACCCCCTAAAGAGTCCTACGGAGTAAAGAAAGAATGACCGACAGGCCAAGAAACACACTCACCTGTAGTGCCTCACACCAGCAAGGTCCGTATCCTCGTTGCGCTCCACTTTCCCGTACACGCTGAGTGTTTCTCCTTTGCCAGCTCAAGTCTCTCCTCAAATTCATCTCAGGCGTATTCGAAACCCCGAGAGATTGACCCCAGACAGCCCGCAATCAACTGCCCAGTGCTCCTGGCTTTGTTTTCAACGGGACAACGCATCGCCTTTCGACAGCGTCTCGGCAGTGTAACCCGTTCTCGCCTCCGGCGCCCCCTTTTCATCCTCTGCCAGCGCCTGCATCCTCTTTTCTTATCACCCGTCTTTGATTCTCGTCGTCCTGCTCTTTTGTCGTTCTTTGCTCTCGCCCCTTCAAACCTAACCTGTCTCTTTGTCTGCTTGTTTCTCGCCTCTTTTCATCCACAACTCGCATAGCAACTTGTGCTTCGATCTGCGGTCCTTGCAGTGAGGCAACTACTCACGGCCAGTGGTTTTCTTCTTACACGCCCTTAAGGGAACACACCCTGAGAGCTCGTCTTCTATTACCCCTGTTCCATTTTGTAGTCCGCTTCTATTTTTTTCTTATTGCCGCCAACCCTGTTGCACACCCCTCCCTCCTTCTCCTCCTCCTTTCCCTCTCTTCGCTCATCTTCCTATTTGAAACCCTGTGCACCCTGCTTTTCTTCACCGGAGCCTGTTCTTGGTGGCCCTTTTCTATCGCGACAAAATCTCACGCATACCCGCCTGGCCTGTCTGTGCCATCAGACCACGTTCTCGCGACTGGGCAGACGTTCCCGTTTTTCCCTCTCTTTCTGTCGGTCGCGCTCTTTCGTTCCGGTCACAGAGCCACGAGATAGACGTGTCAACGAAGAACGGCAGACGAATAAACCAAGAAAACCAACAACGGCTCTTCATATTGCAAATATCTTTTGGGGACACCAGAGTCCGCTGGCGGCCATCTGCAAGCAATCGAGAGCGCTATCCGATATATCAACAACCACCCCGACGAAGAGACGAAGCTGCAGATCGCACTCCTTCCTCTCCCTCGCCTGAGGACTTTTGACGAGCGACTATTGGGGCTTCTGGGCCACTCCCTCTTCTCTTTCAACCACACTCTACAGACAATATAACATGGCGATGCTCGCAGCAAAGTCGCCATACCTGCCGAATCTCGGCGGGCAGGCGCCGGGTGGCCTTGTGTCAGGTCTGCCAACACCGTCCGCAGTTTACGCTCCTACCCGGCGAGTTTTGATCGCACCAGCTACCACAAGCCAGTCTTTTGCCAGCCCAACAGACTCGGAGTTCTCTGACTCGGACGCACCTGACTCCGTCAAGAACTGGGACGAGGACCGTGTGTGCGAATACCTCCGCAGTGTCAAGTGCGGCGACTACGAGAAGATGTTCCGGAAAAATCACATTAACGGCGAGAACCTCCTCGAGATGGACAAGGAGGTTCTTAAGGAAATGGGCATTGAGAAGGTTGGCGATCGCGTCCGCCTCTTCCTCAGCATCAAGAAGCTGCGGACAAAGGCATATGCAAACCAGAAGAAACGGAATAGGGTATGTGTCAATCTCCTTGCTCGCATTGCGATTGCCTTTGCGTTTTTTCTGCCGAGTTTGCGTTCAGTTTCTCCTCTACCATGGGGTCCCTCATTTTGTTTTTCTTTGCTTTCTCTCTTTATTCTCAACATTACCCTGGTGCGCTCCCCCGTTCTCCCTCTCACACGTTCAACAGGAATCATTTGGCGGCTTGGACATCCAATATGTCCCGTCATCGGGCTCCCCCAGCCTTGGAAACTCTGGCCGCCCTGCGGTCCCCACACCGACCGCCAACAAGCGCTACTCCCGCCAGATCGACCTCTCCTCCATGGCTCTCGAAGGCATCGGTGCCAAGTCCTCGCGTCCAAACTCCCCTCCGTCAAGTGCCGAGCAACTGCGCACCGCGCGCCCAGGCAGATATCCGACCCCAAACCAGGCATATTCTGGCCAGGCGACGGCTACAGCCGTAAGCCGTTTCCCCGCCCCATCCCCGGAATCTGCACCTGCACAGTCCTCCGGTCGTCTGGTAGTGGCCCACACCCGCAACAACTCTAGCATGGACGGTTCTCTGATGGCTGCTCTACCACAGAACCAAGACGTGATCCGCGTGATCTCGACCGGTGGCGTTACCAAAGTCGTCAAGATTGCCGATTGTAAAACCTGTGAAGAAGTCATGCGCGTGACCTTGCGGAAGTTTGCCCTCCGTGAAGATCACGAACGCAACTACTGCTTCTGGGTCTTGAACGGCGTCGACCCGAACCCCCACCAATGCATACGCCTTAGCGATACTGAGCTGTGGCGCATCATTAAGGACCAGACGCGCCCCGAAAGAAACCGCCTTATCCTCCGCCGAGTCCCCTCTGGCGAACCGGGTCGTTCCGAGCTGGAGAGAGCCTCAGCTATTGCTATGGAAGAGATGCAACAAAACCATGGCCACAGTCTGCCTACAGTAGAAAAGCGAAGCCAGCTTAAGGTGCAGAAGGTGCTCGGTGAGAGCTGGGACAACTTACAGCATCAGCAGCCACCCCTGTCGCCTGTCACGTATCAGGATGACCGTGAGCGCAATGTGAACAACGCTGCTCGCGATCTTGAACGTCCGGCGCCCGTCGAGACGCTCCGTCCGCCAATCCGCAGAAAGGGTGTTTTAAGACAATTCGGTGGTCTTCGCCCTCCTAGCGAGCTCATTGCCTCAGATTTGACTACTTACTTCCCAGACCACCCGCGCGAAGACATTGACCGCACAGCACGCTTGTCTATGAGACGCTCAGCCCGCCTAAGCAAGGTTAATAGCCGCCTTAGTGTGGCCAGCAACCTCAGCTTCGCCTCCAGCATCCAGGATGCGCCTCCCATCCCGACCATTGCAGACAGCTGGCTGAACACCTCTGGCCAATTGGCCAAAGTCCAGCAGCGGGATCAGCGCAGTATTCGTGCGCCCCATGCTTACCGTGACTCTATTGCCTCGTCCATGCTGGACACACTCCAGGAGGAGCAGACGTCGATGGAGCCCAACCGCAAGTCGTACGTTTCGTATGCTGACAGCGGCTCCGACACTGCCGCTGTCAGCATTACAGATCCTGATGGCAACCTTGTCCGCCACAGCTTTTATGACGAGACGACCACGACCGGCTCTGGCTCTAGCTCTCTCAAGGAGGTGAGCCAAGCTCTGGATGCTGACGGTGAGGGCGCAGACGAGGAGCTGCAGAGCTTCCTTGCCGGCGAGTCTTGGGATGAGAGCAAGTGGATGAAGGGTGCGCTCATTGGTTCTGGTTCGTTTGGTTGCGTGTACCTCGCCCTGCACGCCGTTACAGGTGAGCTGCTGGCTGTCAAGCAAGTCGAGGCGCCAGCACCTGGCGCCAACGGCCAGATTGACTCTCGCAAGAAGAGCATGATTGAGGCACTGAAGCGCGAGATCAGCCTCCTGCGTGACCTCCGCCATCCCAACATTGTGCAGTACCTCGGCTGCGGCTCTTCGACCGATTTCCTTAACATTTTCCTCGAGTATGTTCCCGGCGGTTCTGTGCAGACGATGCTTAACTCGTACGGCGCGCTTCCCGAGCCGCTCGTCCGCAGCTTTGTCCGCCAGATCCTTCACGGCCTGTCGTACCTGCATCAACGCGATATCATTCACCGTGACATCAAGGGTGCCAACATATTGGTTGACAACAAGGGCACGATTAAGATTTCCGATTTCGGTATCTCGAAGAAGCTCGAGGCCACGAACATTCTCAATGGTGCGAACAATAGCAAGAACCGGCCATCCATGCAGGGCTCCGTGTTCTGGATGGCGCCTGAGGTGGTCAAGCGCACGAGCTACACGCGCAAGGCTGACATCTGGTCGCTTGGCTGCCTGGTCGTTGAGATGATGACGGGTACACACCCGTTCCCCGACTGCACGCAATTGCAAGCTATCTTCAAGATTGGCGGCAGCAAGGCGGCGCCGACGATCCCCGAGGGCGCCAGCGAGGAGGCCAAGCTGTTCTTGAGCCAAACGTTTGAGATGGATCACAATAAACGGCCCAGTGCAGACGAACTACTAGCCAGCCCGTTCTTGACTCCCATCACATAAGAGTTTGAAACTCCTGTTTGCTCTTCACTCTCACTCTTCTCGTCGTCTCTAAAGATTGCGATGAGAAATGACTTCTCTTTTTCAGGTGGATTTTTACTACATCGGGTTTATATATGTTGCTTTGCACTCTTCCCATTCTTCACAAGACCTATTTGACACGACGACTACGAATGCACCTTCTTCTCACCCCCCCTCTAAAGACCATTGATTTTCTTCAGCATGCTTGCGGAGTTGGAATTCCTAATACACGTTATAAATATGCATACACATCAACATATATACAATGGGAATGATTTTAGTTTTACAATGTAACACCACGCGTCTTTCAACTTGCCCACACAACTCAGTATCGACACCGTGACCTCAACACAAGGCAAGGAAGCAACAAGTAAAAAGGAAGGCCTGCCTGACAAATAAAACGTACAGGAGCGGGTAGTCGTTTGTCGTCACCGACCTAACTACGAATCCGCCGATGACTTTTTCAATCGGCAGCCGGCACTTCACTCCAACCATGTGCCACTCACGGCCCGACCATCGTATCTCATCGACACTCCTCTCGGTCCAATCATCTCCAGACATCAAGAATTGCACAATCCAAGCCGTTCCTGTTCGGTCCTTTATTAGAGAAGGCCCTATATTACCGGCCGCCAAAGGAGACAAGAAATATGTCCCCAGCATCGAATGTAAAAATGGTGGAGACCCCACTAAAACCATGAGATGATGCGACTCACGCCAAGCTGTCTTGAAGTTGTTTCGAAGGAGGTCCTCGCACGATTCCGTTGGCAATGAAATCCGGGGCAACGACCATGATATTTGAATTAATGTATCAATTAAGACGGGGTATTATTGATGTAGATGGTAGTTGGTATATTGTTCGCAGACAAATGGTATTTTGTGTAATAGAAAATAGATCGTAATGTAATGCGTTAGAGAATCCAAGAAGAGCATATCCTCGAGCCAGTCAGATAAACCCTCCAGAAGCCCGTCTGATCCCACTCAAAGGTACTTCTCCCGCACCCTCTAGCCCTCTATTCAGAAATGCCTCGCCGAATATAAAACGCCATGTTCCCAGATGCAATCGCTATGCCAATGTAACATGTAATGAAAATGGTAAAATGTAAGGAAACGCAGAGAGACTGGACTCAAATCAATATCATGCTCAGCCCAACGAGAGCGGAAGAGGCAACTGCTGCCAAGATGGCAACGACTGCTTGGCTAGAAAACGCCGCGGCTCCGTTGGCCTTGCTGTCGTTTGCCACAAGAGTCAGCCCAGACGTTGCAGCGACAGAGTTGGTTACGAGCGTGGCGTCCGGAACACTCGAGGCGCCAGTGCCGATTTCCACGACATTGGACGCGGTCGTGTTGAAAACGGTCTGGGCCAGCGAAATCTGGTTGTTGTCGAGATCATAAACAACATAGGCCGAGCGCAGGAACGTATCACCCAAGACATTTGTTCCCGTGCCGGCAGGGGCGATGCCAAACAGGCAGGCAGTCTGGCCGTTCCGGAAGGTCGGACGCTTGCCACTAGCCGTGACCAAGTCAAGCACCAGCTCATCAATACCCACCGTGATCGACGGGCTCGAGAATTCAAACGTCACACTCGAGTTGGCTTTGTCGGCCAGGGAGCAGGGCACATAGGCGGCACCCTCGGAAGCGTCGTACGTGGCACCGACCTGGTTGAAGATGGTCTGCACTATGGAGTCGGGAAGGTATGTGAGTGACGAGCCCGAATCTAAGAGCACGGCCAGAGCCATGTTGCTGGCGAGGGTGGCCGAGCCAAGCTGGAGGCCCGTCAAGGTCACGAGGAACTCCGAGAAGGCGCCTGCCTGCTTCTGAACAGGCAGTGTGTGAAGGGAACCAGAATACTGTGCGGTGTCAACGCCACCAAACAGGATGCTGCCCGTATCTGCGTCCAAGTCGTTCAACCATAGACTGTAGGAGTTGCTCTGGATGATGCCGTCTGCAACCATCTGGGCTGGTAGATTGGGATAGGTCGCCTTGCCTGCGCGGCCCACCTGCACCTCGTTGATTGCGTAACCGATACCCAGGATACCCTGAGAGGATGAGCTGGTGTAGCCGACACCGAACTGCATTTTTGAGAGGGCTGTAGAACCGTTTGTGCCGATGCTGACCTTGTCTGTCACATAATCGCCGCTGGCTCCCGAGCCGTCGACGTAGGAGATTGTGAAGTAGCTCCCCACGTAGCCGTATGTTGAGGAGGAGTTGGCCGTGTATGTGCCAGCAAAGGCACAGGGTTGCGATGCCTGCTTGCACAGCGTCGAGCTGGGTGTATTTACCCACAGGTCGCTACTGCCGGTGTCGATATGAAGGCGGAGAGACTGTGCTGGTGTTCCCAAGCTTACATTCACAAAGTAAAGAGTCTCTTCGTTGTCTAGACTGACTTCCACGGTGGTCGACCTGCGTCGTAACCGGTCTCGTTGCACCGGATTGTCGACTCGTCTTCGCTCGGTAGCCATACTGATGACTCTAGGAGGACCATCAGTCCTTTTTTGCAGGACCAGCGCGTTGGTTGAAGCTATTAAGGCAGAGACCAGAACGGCCAATGTTGTTGGCAACTTCATGGTGCGAGATGTGTGTGGCGTCGAGACAAGTGTCTCGGTAAAAGAGTAAAAAGGAAAAAAGAGGAGATCAAGAGTTCAAGACTCTATGGCTATGGAATGACTGTAGGACGCTGTAACTATATGATAGTAAAAGGCGAGGATGGAAAGCAGCTCTATACACGAAGGGTGGGATTTGCTGTTTTAAGAAATCGATCGACGAGTGACAGTAGATGGAGAGGAGGGAAACGGATATAAATATGGCTACTAAATATAAAACAAAAGGAAATCGAGTGAGAAGGGGAGAGGCAGGCCAAACTGGGGCAAAAGAGGGCGAGACCACACAGCAGTCGATCGCGAGAAAAGAGCCGTGATAGTACTAAATAGGAAACAATAGAAGGAGGCCAACGCGAGAGTAGGGCAGAGAACGGAAGTATGTGATCTGCCCAGGCCGTCTGGAACCGCGAAAGTAGAGGCGCACGGGGGAGAAAGATTGTAGGGTTGTAGGGCAAAGTGAGGGTATTAGGAAAAAAAGGGGACGAGAGGAGCAATTAAAGCAGATTGATGTGCAGAAAGAACAAACGGCCAAGTGTCTTGGGGATTGTATTGGGCTTGGAAGGTCTTGTCCATGAGTCCGCAAGACGTTTATGCGGACTTGGCGGGCGAACGACTGGTTCTTATGGCAGGAACGACCGAAACACGCAAAAAATGAATTGTCAGAAGACGAGCACAGAACATAGAGCAGAATACAAAAATAGACGGCTCTGTCGGTGTAAACGGGGCACCGGGGGCAAGAGCAGCCTTGGGTACGCAGGTGTATGCGTGTACATGCGTGTACATTGGGAAGGAAGTAGCCCTCACGATGCCACTGATGACTGAGCGCTTGCGTCACCCAGGAGGGCAAGAGCGATGCACGCGCATGCCCAGTGCCAATGGCCTAGCACCTGCCCGTTGGTGCCCACGAAATATTTTCCTGTCCAGTGAGAGTGTACAGTCGGCAGGTGCAAACAAACGACGAAACCACTGCTACGCACGACGAAGTTGGGGGCATGTCCTGTTTGCGACGATGCTTTGCACGGACTGGGGTGCAAAAGGGTGGGCGGCTGCACTTGCAGCAAGGCTCCGGCACGGGGGGACTGGATCTCATACAAGTGTCATGTCGCAGGGCAGGAAGGGGCCAATCTGTACATGGCAGGGCAAGAGCAATGGCTAAACAGAAGGCTTGGGCGTCACAAACAGATACAATCCATGAACGGAAGCAACACTGAAGAGCTCACGACAGGACATTAAACCGAAGAATGAGCATTGGGCCAAGCGTCTCGGCACTTCTTGACCTGCTCTTGGTACAGCGCCGTGCAATCAACCTGCCATTTTTTGCGTCTTGTGGTGTGTCGCCAATTGCACCAATGTCGTTTGCACCGTTATTCTTCTCTTCTCCTCTTCTTCTCTTCTTCTCTTCTTGTCATCTTTTCATTTCTTTCTTGGGCCTGCCTTCGCGGCGGCTTAGCCCCTTGGCTCCTTGGCTGTTGGCTTGGCCCAGCCTCTCTTGGCCTCACTGGTCGCTTGGCTGGCTGGTCTTGGCCATGAATGGTCGTCTTGGTCACTCATATGCAACCCCGAGCGCCGTTTCTCGAGTACACCAGACCGCCACAATGGACGCGCGGTCGTGAGGTTGGGACTAGCACACAAGTGGTCGAGCCGTGCTGGCGCTGTCCTGAAACACGACTGTGTTAAGCCGCCAAAACAGCAAAACACCGCCAGGCCGCTCTTCACATCCAGCGCCCCTGGTTCCGGATCAGAAATCTGACACGCGGCCGGCGGATCATCACGCAGCATCCGCGACCACACAAAAAGCATCAGTGGCAAAACGCTAGAGAAGTGCAAAAATAGAGACCCCCAACGAAACAAGAGACCGAGACTTGGGGCGCAGCCCGTTTCTCCGTGCTTCAACGCAGGCAATGCAGTGCCAACCCATCCGTGGACAGTGCACACGATAGTTTGCTAAGCTATAGTTACCTCTGGCCATTCAGCGTTGCGAGTTGTGTTTCCATCTGTTCTTTTTGTATTCTCTAAATGCCCCCCCGACTCGGGATCTTCTGGTTTGCATATTCTCCGTCCCCCTTTCACCCCCAAAGCGTTCTTCTGTATGGTTCTTGCTGCCTCTGTTTCCTCTGTTCCCAGTCTTCGTCTTCCTGTGTGTGTATATGTGTATATGTACGCGTGTTTGATTCTGGTTGCTGTCGGTCATAACATTGCTCATAATTGGCGATCCAGGCCCGGTCTGGATTCCTATATAACTAACCTCTGGTGGTTCTGATGGCCGTTGCCAGCTGGCTACGAAATACCGTCAATGGCATTGCTCATTAAGAGACAGCCAAGCTCGCCGAATTGTCTGGACCGATTGGGGAGACGAGACATCCGCCGGGAGTCTCGTAAGACATTTAGGTTTGGGCTTTGAGGTGGAAACCATTGTCCTGTTACCACAGATCTTGGCCCATTGGCATACATGACCCCTTACAAAAGACAGACCTCTTCGCAATGGATGACAACTGTCTGTCATCCACGTTGTCTCTCACGTGCACACGAGGAACATAAAAATTGGCTTACAACACCAGCCAATAGGGCCTCTGCATGTAAGAAAGCAAGAACCGAATTGACTGTTGCCTGATGCAAAATCCTTAGTCCAACGCATTTGACTCCCACGACCTCGTCAGAAAGAAGTGTTGTCGGGCAGTCTATCGTCCGACTACATGGATAATCGTGCCTGTAATTTCAATTTCTCTAATTTGTGTAGTCCTTTCAAAGGCGTCTTGAGCATCGACAACTTTGATGGGAACAAGGCAGCATCTGATAACTACCGTGAATCTTGTATTTGCAACACTTTTGAAGACCACGATATCGAGCCTACTTCATCACCATGGCCGACTTCACCTCTATTGACTACGTCAACCTGGACCGTTGGTAAGCCGATGCGCAAAAGCAATATAAAATAACCCAATTCGATGCTGGCTCGTGGACGCTGGCCTCGTTACTTCGGTCTTGTTAATGTGAAACCATAATGATGATTTTCTAGTCCAGTGTATGCAGTAAGTTCCTCGCCCGGCTGACCAGCTCCTCCCCCAGAAGTGAAACTGACAGCAAGTTCCTCCTCTCTTAGTCCTTCTTCGGCGCCATCGGTGCGGCCTGCGCCATCGTCTTTGCCGTCATTGGCGCCTCCTACGGCACCGCCAAGTCCGCCACCGCCATCTTTACGGCCGGTGTCCTTCGTCCCGATCGCCTGATGCAGAACACGCTCTGCGCCATCATGGCCCAGGCCCTGTGCATATACGGCCTTGTCGCCAGCGTCATCATCAGCAATGGCGTTCATGAGAAGATGGCGCTGTACACGGGGTTCATGTACCTGGCCGCCGGCCTGTCCGTTGGCTTGTGCGGATTGGCCGCCGGGTTCGCCATTGGCATTGTGGGTGATGCGGGCGTGCGTGCGAGTACACAGCAGCCGCGGCTGTACGTTGGCATGGTGCTGATCCTCATCTTTGCCGAGGTGTTGGGACTCTACGGCGTGGTGGTGTCGATTCTGATGATGACGAACGCCACCAACGGCGCAACAGTCTGCACTGCCTAACATATAAACTGATATGCACGACTTGTTTGTCACGCGACGTCTGGTTTTCGATCTTCCTGGGGGCAGTGGCAGACGATGTAGATGCGAGCAGATTGGAAGGCGCACACAATTCACATGCTTCAAAATGTTGAGAAACAATGCATTGGATGTAAATCAGGTGCTGAAATATAGACAATTAATACAGTACAAAGGCTCACACCTCAGTCATCGTCGCTTGCTGCGCTACAACACCCACTCATTCTTGTTCTCATCAGGTCGAATAAAGGGCTCGTTGATCTTTTTGATGGCAAAGTCGCTGCACAAGATACTACCAAAAATGTTAGCACGACATTTAAAAGCAGAAAAGGGGAAAGGATAGATGAGTCAAATTCGTACCATGCAGACGCAACCAGCGCATCCAGCTCGGCCACCATCGCGTCCTTCTTAGGGCCCGTCACCAAGCCTTTCGTGATCTGGACCTGCAGATCGCGGATCTTACGTCCAACGCCATGGCTCGACTGTTCCAGCACCCGGCGTCCCAAGCAGTCCGAGTGGAATGCGTGCTGGCAGGGGAACACAAAGAACTGGCGGCTTAGCAGCGGCAGCCCGCAGACGTAGCACTTCTCACCGGGCTCCACAATGGCGTACCGGTGGTCCAGTGCCGCAATGTCTACCTTGATGTTAGCGGCCGTCTGGCTGCTGTCGTCCATTTCTTTTTTCAGACCGTCAATCTCGCGACTGTAGTCCTCAAGCGCTGCACAAATCTCCTCTTTGAAATCGTCGATGACAACAAAGTCGGGGAAGAAGGGGATCAAATCCTCAATCTTGAGCAGGTCGCAACGCTTCAAAAAGTCAATCGCGGCCTTGATGCCACCGTTCGACTGTTGCGAGATGACCTTGCGCGCCACCGCCAGCCAGAGCTTTTTGCGGAGTGTCGTGTTGTCCATCGGCCGATCTGCAACGACGGACGCCAGCTCGACGGCATCATGCGACAGTGCCAGGTCCACGGCTTGCACATATTGGCCCATGCTCGTGTAGATGTGCACACACGAGAGCACGCGCTTGTACTGGATGCACAACCGCAGCGCAAAGTCCGGGTCGAACCGAGGCTCATCGCCCTGTGACTCCAGGTACGACAGCAGTGCCGCCTCGTCGCGCGCCGGAAGAGACGCGTACATCGACACAATCGTATTGTGCACGGCCGCGTCCGTCGAGTGCAGCTGGTTGATGACGTACTGCAGGTAGCGGATCGCTTGGTTTTGCGCGAGCGGACCCTGGAAGGAACTGTCGTAGTCCAGCAGTGCCGGGATCATACTGCGTGGATTAATGCTGTTGCCCTGGCGCATCAGCACGTCGACCAACTCTGTAGCCACATGCGTCATGAGCACGCTGCTGTAGCGGTAAAAAGCATCGGCGTCAGTCTGTCGCTTCAGCACCGCAAGTGCCTCGGACCACTTCTCTCGCTGCACCCAGTACGACAGGACATAGTTATAGTCGTTGATGGCATCAGCAAAAAAAGGAGTTCCTCCTCGCGGCCGTGGCTGCTAATGATATCGTAGACCGTTTTGCGGTCCAGGTCGGCCTTGTGCTTACGCGCAAATGCCTTGAATTCGTCACGAACCAGCTCGAGCTGCTCCCGCGTCTGTGCCGGGTCCAGTGTCTCCGACAGCTCGGCTTTTGTGACAATAGTGTCGTCCAGCGAGTTGAGCTTCGCCATAAAAATCTCCACAAGCCAGCTAGCAATCATCACTCGTTGCATGACACCCGGCTTCTTGTAAGTGCTGAGTTTGGTCAGAAGATACTTGCGCAACGCGTCGGGTTGGTTGCGGTCGATCAAAGCCAGAGCCACATCCTCAAATGGTTTGCTGCTTTTGCTGTAGATACCGGCTGCCTCATCAAAGAGGCCCTTTCCAATCAGGTAGTCACCAGACGCCGTTGCCACAGCATCGCGCTGCGCTGCGTTGTGTGCATATTGCATCGCCGCATCAAACTGCTGCAGTTGTAGCATGATTTTCCAGATATCGCGATCCTCATCGCGAACAACGATCTCAAAGATCTCCTTGGCCGTGAACAACCAGAAAGTACTCTTTTGCAGGTCTACGCTCAGAGAAATGGCCTTTTGGCCCGGGTCAAGGATCACCTGATCGTACACCACAGAGCCCGTCAGGCGGTTTGCAGCAACAATGCGACCCGCCACAAGGCTGATCACATGCCATTGCGTCAGAGCAATTGTGTCGACCGGGTCGTTGGTGACTCGCCGTCTGCCGGCGCTCGATGCATCGGAGCCAGCGACCAGCTGGGATCGCGGGATCAGCTTCGACTCGGCAAATACATTTGTCCCGAGCTCGGGTTTCGGTGAAGCAACAAGCAGCTTGCCGTGGTAAACGCCATGCGACGATAGCCAGGCGAATGCCCGATCAGGGCTTACTGCCTCATAGGGCCTGCCAGTTTCTGGGTCTGGCGACACGACGAGGGAGGTGGTAGATGTCGACAAAGAGGTTCCAGGTGCTGAGGAGGAAGATGCTGTTGTTGAGGCCGTGGAAGCTGCCCCACCGGAAGAAGTGGAAGCAAGGTCATGAATAACCGGCTGCTCAGCTTCAAAAAGCTTTGTGTACACCGAGCCGCCGCCGTCCTGTGCCCGGCCAATCTTCCCGACCCAATGCAACAGCCTCGACGAGGTGCTCACGAGCACGCGCCGAAACTGGTCAGAGCGGCTTGGGATGGCATCGGCCCAGAGGCCAGTAATGGCACCATCTGGCAATCGCGCCAAGCTCTTGATGTACTTGTCTTCCTTGCGGTAGAAGTCGTTGGACGGTTCCAAAAACGATTCGTAGATGTTGCCGTCGGCGGCACCTATGAGGATCTCACGGGTTGAGGCCGTGGGAAGCAATGGGTTCCAGGCAATCGACTGGATAGGCACGCCGCGCAGCCGCGCGAGAGGTTTCGGCTGGCGCGATTGAGAGTGTAGGTAGTAGCACTCGCCGGCCGATGTGCAGATAACAAGGTGGGAGGCGGTCGGGTCGAGGAAGAGCCGCTCGATGACGCCGATCTCGGACGGACGTTTCGGAAGGTCGATATCGTCGATGTCTTCAGGACGGTTCAGGTCAATGCGGAGGATGCGGCCATTGGAGAGAGCAAGCACAAGCACGTTGTTGGCAACTTGCGCAGCAACAAAGTTGGCCGCAATGGAGAATTGCATTTGCACGCGCTGCACATCGAAGATCGGAAGGCCATTGTCGTCTGCCAGCCCAGAGGTGGCCGAGAAGCCGCTCGACGGATCCAAAGCCATTGCGTGTATTGGGGGTGCTTTCACATGGCCTTCGGTAGGGATGGCGGGCCGGGACGCTGAAGGGGAAGTGAGAGATTGTGCGACCCGGAGTATGCGCAGAAGGTCGGGTATGGAAGCTCCCCACAAGGAGATAACAATAAGCGCTGCCTCAAAAAGCGGTGACTTGCGGCATTACCAAGCTATGCTGTCTTATCACTAACAAAAGCATTCGGTAGCCCGCTAAATTCAGGAGCTACTAAATAAGACCTTTGCCACTTTTACTCCACGAAGGTTTGCGAATTCAATTCTTAAGGGCTAGTTAAGTAGATTTGTTTCGTTTCACAGGCTTGCTTAGCTACACAGCGGCTTCTCAGATTCTGTGTTCAAGCTACGAAGCAGATAACAAAGGGGCCTTAGAAAATAGATATTAAGTTGCTTCTTAATGACCTTCTATAGTCCCGTCCAAAAGTCCAAAAACCAAGTCGCCACCCTGCACAAGAAATAAACAAAAAGATAGATATGCCGATTCTGGAAGAAGAGAAAAATGGGTATCTGCACAAAAAAAATAAATGGCGGTAGCAGCTGGTCGCCAACGGTATAAACAAAAAATTTAGTCTCTCAAGCCAGCAGACGGAAGAGACCCTCCCGCGTCAGTGAGTACCAGAGTTCGGCGCAGGAAGTATCAAGATGAAGGCAACTGAGACAAAGCCTGGTCCCCGGCAGCAACCAAAAGAAACAATAAAGGAATATGTCACAAAGAAGCATAATGGGGAAAAAAAAAAGTAAACCAAGCCAAACAACGGCATGAGAAGTGAAGGCCAGCCCCGGAAAATGAGCAATCATGAAGAAGAAACGAAAAAAAGCCGCAATGTGCCGGTGCAGGTGAAACTATGCACCGATGGTGCTTCCGTATCCGCTGTAGCTATCGTCGACAACAATGCCATTCTTGGCACTTGGGTTGGCGGTAGACGGCCTTGCTTCGTTGCTGCTCTTCAGATGAGCCAGGTCTTCCGCAGTGGGTTTCCGGGCGGTCAGGACGCGAAGCGAGATCTGTAGGCTGTTGGGTGGTGCGGAGCGGTCTAAGGCTTTAGCCTTGATCTCCTGGCAGACCTCCTCGCATGCTTCCAAAGCATGAGCAGGGTCCCAGTCGAGATATTTTGTGAGAAGGCGCAATGAACCAGCTTCGACCGTATGTAAACAGGCAATGAGCCACATCTTGGCGACAGAGTCGTTGTGGGCGTTCAGCGGAATGGCGTGCTCGGAAATCTTGACATCGACGAAGCCCAAGCGTTCAAGACGATCGGCCGTCAGGTGGTGTGTGCCACGACGCCGACCTGCTTTGATAGAAGCTTCGTCGATAGCGCGGGCAAAGGAGTGTATCTGGGCGTCGGCGGGGAAAGCAGAGAGGAAATGGTGTGTCTGGCCTGTCTGGTCGTGAAAGTCAAGGGCCTCGATATGACCCCCAGGCTTCAGGCAATTAAGCGCCTCGCGGAAAATGAAATCCCAATCCTCAAAGGCGCCTGCCATATCTCGCAGATGAATGAGATCCACAGTGTTTTCGGGGCGCATCCATTCAACCTGGTATCGCCAGTCAGAAAATTTCCGATCGACAAGGAGTCGGTAAATAGAATTCAAGAACAGATGATAGCTTACCTCACAATCGTCAATCTCAAAAAACACATTATGAGGCACAGCTGTGGGCTGGATAGCTGAGATGTCCACGCCAACGACCTCGCATGTAGGATACAGCTCGGCCATACCGATTGCCCACTCGCCAGTCCCAGTACCGATATCAAGAATATGTCTGGGATCTTGGAGCGGTACGGATGTGAGCTCGAAGTTAAACACATTCAAAAACACTTGATGGACAACGCGCAGACGGTCCTGTTCCAGGTCATCATTTGGGAACATGTAGTCGCCGCAGTAGCGGCGGCCGTTTTCCATGACGTAGTCGAGTTCTTCTTCGTAAAGAGAACGAGAAGAAGAGTTTCTATGACATTGAAGAAGCTTTAGTTAGCAGGTGAGTTCGCGAGCCAATGGATGCATGGCGTTTCTTCTCGGTTAGTTAGAGGCGCATAACGCATTGAGAGCACTTACATGGTCGCTGCGTCAAATCTCTCGACGCGATAGCGAACTGGAATCACGGGGTATACGCTGGCAGCATAGTGTGGCTCCGCCGACTCGCCGTCCTCATCGTCCACCTCGAGAATATTCTCATGTACGTCTGTATCTGGTTCGGGAAGCGGCATGTTTGCTGTGTCGGCCAATTCCTCACCTATGCGTATCTCGTCGACAAGGAGAGAGATATGTTCAGATATGCTAAGCCCACTGTGCAAACTACTTCCCACTGCTCGGCTTGGGGCTGCTAATTCCTGATGGCCTAGCTGTCCTTGTTGTTCCTTGTCGTTTACTAGTTCTCCCGTGGCACTGTCGGTTCTGTTTGCGAACGTGTTATCCGTTGCCGTCGGTCCTATGCCGACTGTTTGACCCTGTTCCTGCCCGTGGTTGCTTTGCTGCTCTGATCCATGGGGGCGAGAAACGGTGTTGATATCGCTCGTTTGCATCTCCTGCCGCGATCGGGGTAGCTTTATTGCACTCCAAAAAAAGATGGGTGGGTTCCAGGTCCGGTTTGGGTTTTTCCAAGCCTGTGGATTTCCCGTTCCTAGTCCTTTCCCAAGATCACGTACGTAGTCCGACTCTTTCCGTTGTTCTGGCGCAAATGTCGTGAAGGCATTCCCGGTAGCCAAACGCCACCCCTTGCAACAGGATAAGAAGAGCAACGCTCGCCCAAGTCCGAGGTGCTAAACCAACGCAATATGCTTGTGGGGGTGTTTTTTTCCCCGGATAGAATACACCGTTGTCAAGTTAACGATTGCAAGATCAGAACGAGCCTAGAAGGCAAATGGCCTGACGCGTGAGGAGAAAAGTAGATGTACACGAAATCTGTAGCTCGGGGAAAGATCCGTGGCCTTGTACGAGGCGAGTCGCAAGCAAGAGCGCAATTGGTTGACTGAGATCGCACAAGGGGAAAGGCTTTCGTGTCTCGGTTGTGGCGAAAGATTGAAACGAATGGAAAGAGACAAAAGGTATAGCAAATCGGGAAGAGTCGTCTGGACTTGCTGGAGATTGAGAAGATCCTGTGAAGACAGTTGAAACGTTTGGGGAGACGAGATCTGAATACCAACGAGGCAATTGAAGATGGAAGTGTGACAAACTAACAGACACAAACAAAGATCCGTGAAAGAAACAAAGGCAAGTCAAGCGCACAACGACGCGGGCAAAGAATGCAGGCTGCCGACCGTCCAGGTAAATAAGAGGTGTAAGTTTGCAAGGACCACAAAAACAAAAGAACCAGAAATAAAAAGAGGGAGCGAATGGCCACCGGTACAAAAAAGAAAAGAAAACGGAGACGCAAGGCCCAGTCGAAGAGCGCAGGATACGTCGTAGACAGGGAGCCAAATAACGCCGCACGGCTCAATATGCAGCACGTCGTAGGTCGTCGTGCGGAGCTCACGTCGCAATGCACAGCAAAAACGGCTCCGGTCCCGAACGAAATTTCTTGGGCATATCCTGGGATGCTTCGGATTTCCTGGGTTCGCTCTGAGAGGGGGGAGAGGGGGCCTGGCCCAGGCCTGGTCATTACGACAGGACAGGAGCAGCTTAGTGCGGCCACCGGAGGGGGCAGATGGAGATGGGTGAATGGGTAGCGTACAAAGAGGGTCGTGTTCCTGGGCAAGCTGGGACTGGGTAAGTAGAGTTGGGGGCCCGGGGGGGGGGATGCTAGTGAAGTTTTTGGTGAAGTACTGTAAAATGGGAATTCAAAATGTAATGTCGTAAAATGTTGTAGCTTCGAGGTTGGTCCTCGGTTTGGAAGCTGATCACTCAGTAACTGATATGAGAGCAAGAGGAAACAAGTGACTGCCAAATAGGGTGCGAATACGTCCCATAGAGGAAGGCAGGCACGACTGAGAAACAGCCAGGTATACGTCGAAGCGTGTCCACAACTACGGAGCACTTTGTCCCTCACTTCGGCATCATTTTCACGCACTCCTTCAAAGACACGACAGACACAACAGAAGCAACAGACAGCTCTGGCTGAACACGTTGGCAGCACTAGCACAAAACGGAAATGGAGAACAGGGGCCTTGGGCAAGATGCGCCAAAGCTGTGATCCGTTTTGGGGGCGATGGTGTGGGGCAGGAGTCGGGGCAGGTCCACTTTTTCTTTCTCTTGCTTCATACGGCAAGTTACCCAGGTTGAACTAGGCTCTGGACCCCGTTCTCACAGTGGTTGTCGCTATACGCTTGTCCTCTGCTTCTCACTCGTAACTGGCCCCGAGCACCTTCCTGTTTTCTCGACGCCCTCTAAATCTCAACCTTGTGGCACCCGGCTCCAAGAACATTCCAAAAATTGAAAATCTACGACGTCTCCGTACGGCCTGTAGCCCTCATCTGATGTGTATCGTCCGTCGTTCCTTCCACTCTGGACTCCTTACTCGCTCCCGATGCTGCTCCACTCGATGGCTCCTTTCCCTACCGATCGCCCTTTATGTGCACGATACCAGGACCTGGAAAGTCTCTCCTTCCCGGGCATCCCTGCGGACGAACGCAAAGGCGGGAAACACACTAACAAATTCGCCTTCGACGTTGTCAACATTTTAGGTCTCTTGTGATCCTGTTTTGCCTTGGCGGTAGTTTCTGTTCGCCCGCCCCTGGCCCGGTGCCAGAACGGCGCGTCTACCCTAGGGCCTTTCCGTTAGTGCATATTTTTGTTTCGATCTTCAGTCTGCCCTTGCGAACGATACTCTGTCGTTCTAAGGAGCAGTATTACTTTTACAGAACGAGGATGACATATAACACAGTAATTCTCCCTAACTACGGGCGACACGGGGACTACAGCGCATGCTATGTCGGCCAATCGTCGATGCCACTGCCAGCAGGCAGCTTTGACGGTGTCACTCGACACGACTCGACGATTTCCCTCAAGTTGCTTTCTGGTTCTGCGAGAATCTGCGCCGCGTTTGTGGGGAGTGGATTTCTTGTTTTGTGCAAAGATCCCAAACCGTATGCTTACATCGTATGAAGTGGGATCCCTTTCTCACATCGGGCGGATACCGGAGGCCTGGTCAGCACGAAAAATGGAATAGGCAAAAAAAGAAAGCAAAAAGACCCACGACCTTGTCTCCTGGGACATGCATCCTGCAAGAGAATGGGGACAAAAGCAACCCAGAAATCCCATTAGGAACAGAAAGACACCGAACGGGGAAGCCGGAAAGCACAACCTGCATGTTTGTTTTCTATGCAACCAAAGCAGTATTATGTACATCCGTATTTCATCAGACGAAGAAGTATGTCGTACTTGTTACCTGTACACACAAGTAAGTACAGGACAAGCCCTAATGGCATCTTAAGTACTTTGCGAGGAATATTCATACGTTCTAATATAGTTGCTGTCCCGTCCAAGTGGACAATCTGACGGGCTTATAATGGTGGCCACATGTCGTTTTGAAAAGCCATTTACCAAACAAGCGAGCCTATATGGAGATTATACAAACGCGAACTAAATCAACCTTTCGAGTGGCTGATAATCAGTCGGTGTGCCAGGTGCGGTTCGGCTAGCTCTGCTAATTATGGGCAGCAAAAAGCGACAGGTCGAGCCGGAAAACAGCTGTTAAGGCAGCGAAGACGGACCGTCAACGAAGCCCATGTAGCTGGTGGTTCAAGACTGCCAATGCGCTGAAAGTAAAAGTCTGGCGCTGTTTTTCGGAGTGGTACTAAAGATAGTAACAAAGGTGTCGAAAACTGACCAACAAAATGGTTACGCTTCGGATATTGCAACACAAAACAAACCACGGGAGGCTTTTTAGGTAAAACGGCCGAGCGGCATCGCTTCGGTGGTTCAACCCAGGTCTTGAAGTTCAGTACCAGAGATAGAACCGGAAACAAACCAATGGCTCGACGTACCTCGTGGAGCGGAAGACTGTCCTTACTCTCCTTCCCACCTCTCCTCCTCTTCCCTACGCTCTTTGTGCGGGTCCTTTTCATCTCCTTTTCATCTCCTCCCGACACACTGGGTCTTGCTCGCGGCTTCCCGAGCCCGTTGGACGTTAGTCAGGTCTGACTAGAATTGCAAACAAGCGGCAATCTGGGCTTTTATCTGTGTTTCCGTGTCGTTGTTCGATATTTCCCCTTTCTTGGGAACCGTGCCGCCCGCAAGGGTCTGACGCGATAAATTAAATATAGAAAATCTTCGACTCGGGTTTGATTTCTCCCCTCAGACGCCCTACCAACTCTATCTTCGCCGTGTCTTGTCTCGTTCTCGACAATTCTTATCACCCCCCGGCCTGAATATATATAGCAACAGTTTAAATTGAGGCCGTACTCGGCCTAGAGACAGATTTAAAAAGTCAATGGAAGAAAAGTGTCACCGGTTCGACGCTGACGCCGATTAAGAAACTCCGCCCCAGCTCTAAAAGAAGTCGATGGGGTCGTAATGGTCAGGAAGAAAGATCTCAAGCGCTCCGCCATTAGAAGTGCTGTAGTATCTTCTTCGTTACCAACGGAGTATTGACTGCCAGACAAGGACGCTAAGCCAGAAAAGGCTTCCATAAATCCATCCAGCAGTACAGACACGCTATCTCGAGCAGCTCATGCCGGGGGGCGCATGCCAGCCTACAGGCGACAATTAAAAGAACGATGCGAAAGAGCACAGATGAAGTGAAAATGAAACGAGTGTGGCATGGCGTTTCACTCACCGGGCACAGGCGAATTCGCCGGTTCATTTGACCGAAGGTATCTAATCGATGAACTATGATAGTCGTGATGAAGCGGATATGAAAACAGACCGGGGCAGCAAGATCGCAGTATGGTGAAAATACCGACCGCGGTGTCCAATGATAACTTTACACACTTGCGAGATTTTCAGAGATTATCCAACTTGGTCCTAGTATGGCAAAAACGTTGAAATCCAGATCAAGGATGAGGCACAACCAATGTGGGCTCGAAGGCCGTGGTCGGAAGTGTAGGTCGCACTAACCTACGTGCGCCAAGCAATATGGGACTCAGCCCGTTGGTTCTCCGGCACCTCCAGAAGCTTTTATGCGCACAACGACAGGTATCACAAATAGTGACACAGTATCCGGAAAAGCCGCACACGTGCATTACATGAGCAGCTTATAATACGCGTCGTCGGCCGGGTTCCCAAATTATTGTTATATACAATGGGAGGATATATAAGAAGTCTATTGAAGATCCAGAAATCAAAATTAAAAGAACGGTGGAAGTAAAGCAAAACAAACAAAAGTCTACACCAAGGTTTACTTCTGTCCAAAATGAAGCTGTTTGCATCGACAAAATAAAGAGGACGAGCTCCTCCTCACCCAAACCCAAGTGCGATATACCCAAAACGATTTGACCAAGAAATACTCATCTAGCCTGTCCCAACTCACAGCGTCTCCCTCCTTATTCACACCAAATCATGTCTATAATTTTCTATGGCCCGCCAGCGCAGGCCGCTCGCCTCCTTTACCGTAGCAGGCAATTCGCGTAACTTTGGCGTATCCCACTTTCAGAGAGAGATGGGAGGTTCTAAGTAGCCTTGTTGCCAGACTGCGCCTAGCCGCCAAAGTTCACCTGCATTTGACTATCGACAGCGGAATAACTCCATTTGGCTCATGATGAGTGCAAAGTGACTGCGCCTTTGTAGGTCATTCGGTTGTTTAAGCAGTCTTGGAAGTCTCGTTCGGCTGCGGGCTGTCCGAGATGGGCTCCTTATCGGAAACAACAAGGCGGTCGACGACAACGGGGAAGGGGCTAAGCACCTTGCCGATGTTGCCCCACCACTGCTCACCAAATCTCTTGTACCAGTCGACGGTGATGCGCAGGCCGTCGGCAAAGCTGGTCTTCTGCTCCCAGCCAAGCTGGCGCAGCTTCGTGCCGTCCACAGCATAGCGGTGGTCGTTGAAAGGGCGGTCGTGGGTATACTTGACCCACTTCTTGAACTCCTCCGGGGTGTCATGTGGGATGCCGACCTGCTTCAGCAGGTGGCCGCACAGGTCCAAGTTGGAGATCTCGTCGTACGAGCCGACGTTGTAAATCTGGCCAATCTCGCCACGGTGCATGATGGTGTCGAAGGCGTCGGCAGCATCGCCCGCAAACAGGTAGCGGCGTGTCGGGCTACCGTCACCGTGCAGGACAACGGGCTCACCACGGTTCAGCAGGCAGGTGAACTTGGGGATGACCTCTGCAACAGTGGTCAGTAAACAACTCAAAAAGGGGAAAACAGAGGGTTGGGGCAGGCAGTCTTCTACTGGTACAAGAAACACTCACTCTCTGGGTATTGATGGGGGCCATAGACATTGTTGCTGCGGACGATGATAGCGGGCAGCTTGAAACTCTTCATGTAGGAGTGGACAAGCATCTCAGCGGCGGCCTTGCTGGCAGCGTAGGGATTGGTTGGGGCCAGGATGCTGGTCTCCAGCAGGTCATCATCCTCATCCCGGACCTCACCGTACACCTCGTCGGTGGAGATGTGGATGAAGCGCTTGATGCCGACCTTCTTGGCACCCTCGAGCAGGACATGGGTGCCGTAGACGTTGGTGTGGGTAAAACCGTAAGAGTTACCAAAGCTCAGGTCGACGTGGGACTGGGCAGCAAAGTGGAAGATGGTGTCGATGTTGTAGCGCTCCAGGCAGTCGACAACCTCTGAGGGGTTGGTGATGTCACCCTGGTAGAAAGTGAAGTTGCGCTTATCGTTCAGGGCGCGTGTGTTGTTCAGGGACGCACAGTAGTCAAGCTTGTCAAAGGAGACAATGTTGTACGCGTTGGGGTAGGTGATGGTAAGGTGGCGCACAAGCCAGCAAGCACTATAAGAGGAGTTTTAGCACATCCATTGTTGCCACTACAATGAAGCTTTTGCATTTCAACCGAGGTGCGAGAAGTAGTAAAAGGGACGATGCACTTCAAGGCCGTCGCAAAGCGTTTTTGAAAGCGGGACGGCCCCTCTAAAAGCGGGAAGAGACAGGACATACATGAAGCCAGCGCCGCCCGTGATCATAATGTTCTTGACATCGGGAAGGGGTTCGAACTTGGTGCTACCAGTGAGGACGGGAGCATCCTTCCAGACACCGAACTCCTCGAAGAAGTTTGCGCGACGGCCAGCTGTGTGAGGAGCGGTGAGGGTCAGTTTATTTGCCAATTTTGTTGGGAGGGGTAATGGGCGCTGCCAGCAGATTCATAAAAAACTAGAGCTGCACGCAACAGGGGCGGAAACGTACTGTCCTGGCCATTGGAGTACAGAGGAGAAGCCATTGTGTCAGAGAGGAGAATGTGAGCTTGCCAAACGGTGACAGAGGTTCGTCTGAAGTTGGTGATGCAGAGAAATTCGTAGTTGGGGAAAGATGCAGAAGGAAAAGGAGGGGGAAGCTGCGATAGAGGACAGGTTCGGCGGGGCGGGCGCGCTGAATTTGTTGGCGTGTATTGGTTTAGGGGCAGGAGCAAAATTGTGGGTTTTCCGATAACTGTTCTGGGGGGGTTCCTTTACTTGGAAGCTGAAGTGCGCAGAGAAGAAAGAAGAAAGGTGTTAGCAGCAGGCCAGGGGGTAGATCCAGTAAGGATATAGCCTGGCCAAGGCCTGCAAGACTTGCAGACGGAAAAGGCGAAGAGCAACATTGCTCAAGAGGAACCCTTGTCTCAGCGCCAGGTCCACTCCATAGGCTGAAAGAACGTACCTGGAAAATGTACGGCGTTACCAGGTGACAGTCGGAGGTGGAACGAGATGCTGGCAGGATCAAGAAAGGACAGTATGAAATATGGCAAATGGCAGAGCGATATAAAGGATTGAGAGCCCCTGCTGAATGGTAAATAATAGGGGCTGGAAAGTAGCGAGCACGAGGGAACAAACTCATTTTAGGACGCCACACACAAAAAAAGGGATATTATACGTTTGTAAATACGACATAAGGCTCTGAGGAACGGAACGAGCGAAAGGCATCTCTACAACGTGAAGGCAATCATCGCACTTAAACTGACAACTGTCCCGCCTCTGCTATTATGAAGGGCACCTCTCCTTCATCAGCCACTGGTCAGAGATGATACCGAATCTGGCGATGGTTCCCGCCCAGCGCTACCGAACGTATGAAATATTTCGGGGTACCCGCATGCGTACGACTTAGTGAGAACGGGACACGTATGGCTTTCCAGTTAACAGGCGATGTGTTGTGAGGCAGAAGCAAAGCTCGTACTTTTGTAGTGAGTAAGAAACGGGAAAAGAGGACAGGGCGTGATCGGCACTGTCGAAAGCGGAGGGGCGAGAAATAAAACCCCTATTTAGGAGAATACTAGTGCGACTGTATTTCTGTTTAGGGTTTTATTTTATGACGAGGCGCAGGAATAGAGGCTGCTAAATGCCCTCCGATCCACTACGAATACAATGGCGCTACTCTCCGTCACATACGACAGACCCGTTCTAGTGCTTCTTGTCAGGCACACACCAATGGCGATTAGAGGAAAAGGTCGTCTGCGGCTTCTTCCAGCCTACTTGGCACGAACCCAAGGCAAATAACAAAAGGGTACAAAACGAAAGTGAAGGAAGGGAGACGAGGACTGCATCCGCAGGAAGTAACGGACAAGAGTGGCGTGTCAATATGGAGAACCCGCAGTTGCATAATAGCATTAGACAGGAAAACGAGGACGATACATGGCGTAAGACGACATGCAGTGTTTAAAAAAGCCTGTCGCCTGGCGAACTTGTCCGTGACTGCTGCGCCCAGGAAGATGAATACGAATTAATGCGCCAACCCGTGTGGCTTTACGTATGGTCGTACCTAGGACCACGGTTCCTCTGATGTCAGCCCCCCTTTTGCTGTAAGTTTTTAGTCACTTTTTTCAGCCTCGTGCTTGGCGAAATGAAGAACATACGAAGGGGCAGTAATTAAACTTGAACCGCAATTGGGACCTTACCTTGTGGGTTGGTGATGGGCAGGAATGTATGTCGTACGACGTTCTGGAGGGACCCGGAACGCCCTCATGTCATTCTTCATTCATAATCCACAGACACCTCCCCAGACATGGTGGTAGTCGGCAGGTTTCTCTAACCGTAAGCAGAAATGGACAATGGCGTAGGAATGACTGCGAAAGTGATTGCGTTTGCTCCCCTCGTAAGGGGAGCAAGACAGGGAGACGACTGGAAAGCAATGCATCATCAGGCAGGAAAACACGAGGGTGAGACAGCGCCGAGACAGACAGGGACAACGTCAACGAGGACGACGAACGGCGTGCATGCAGGCACCAGCTTGTCATTCGTGCGAGGTAAATAGTGCTCGCTTCCAACGTGTGGCGGTCAAGACACAAGTACCATGAGCTTGCAATTTACACAAGGCCGGGAAGTGGCACTGGCAGACTGGGTGGTGGCCTGTGGTAGGACGAGTATAGACATACTCGGCAGGTAAGACATAAACACGACATTGTGACAACCAAAAACGTGACGACCGAGGACGGTCGAGACCACGACGTAAATAGGGACCTGTGCGAGCCACTACCGAAGCCATGGGGGTTGAGAAGGAGAGGGCCAGCATACGATGCACACATTCAAACCTTTTACAGGTTTTACTTAAGGGCACTCGCAGCACTGAAGAGGTTAACTGTGGTAGTTCCAAAGCAAGCAAAAGAAATATGGACTTGGAAGTCAGGATGTTCGCTATGATCAGCACAGCCGGGGCATCTTGCTAACAATCCATGTGCTGTTCCGTCAATTCATTTTCGATCGGCTTGTAAATTCGCAATGTCATGATCCTTTTCAAAAGACGGCGCCCGTAAGAAGAGGCATTGAAAATCATAAGGTGATTTTTGAGGCAAGGCGCAAAATAAGAGCGTCCTCGCAGCAAAAGCTTGACCGTGGCTTCTTGGGTTCCAACGAGAGAACAAAAAAAACCGCAATCGTTAGTGGCCGAATATGAATAGATAGCAAAAAGTCGACTTAGTCGCCCGTCGTACCAGCTGAGAAACGCCACACTCGTTTGCTCACTTATGGGACATTAATACAACATACTTACTTGGGAAGTCAGTTTCGAAAACAGAGTGCTGACTACGACCAAGCTCTCTCTAATAGGAAACGACACGCTGCTTTCGGAGATCGAGTAATCCCTTACGTCGTAGTTTTAGGTTTAGGTTTTTCAGTGATGACAACATTACCGAGACAATGTAATTTGGCAGCTCCATCTCAAAATGATTTTCTCACGGCTCTGTGAACACGGTCTGTCCAAAGTCATTTTATACTCTCGCTTT